GGACACGCACTCCTGTTCTTTTCATTATTTGTCCCATGAAATTAGTTCATCCTTGGTCCTATGGCCCCCTCCCTTGATTGAGTGGGTGGGTCTTTAATTCTAGGTAGGCTCTGCCCATCTTTCCTTAACATAAATGGGCTAGCTACTATTGTTAACACAAATATTCACTTAGAAATTTACACTGATCTGTGTTATTAGTTGCATAATCACTTAAACCTGCTGAAAAGGATATAGTGATTAGCCATCTCTCAAAAAGTGCTCAATAGCCAAGCATATGCCCTGGAGGCTGGGAATATTGCTCTTAAGGATCCAAGCTCTTGCTGAGCTTCAGTGAAACAGTCAAGTGGGGTTCTCAATACCAACATGCTTGCCACTAGGATTATTTTAATGGTGCTGTAACTCACTTACTGCAAATCTGCAGTTAAAAAAATACTCTTAACTGACAAATTCCAAGAAGGAAATCAACAGTTATAGAAGTCGGAGATGAAAAAACTAGATTATCTAGTCTCATCTCACTGCAAGTCCGAGTTTGTTCCCTAAAATACATTTTCTATTATCCATCTAGTATAGATTTAAAGTCTCAAGATTGGGCTCCTACAACTTCCCCATGGAAACACCTGCTGTCAAATAACCTCTTGACTGAGATGTTTCTCCTAACAGTCACACCAAATTTTCCTTTTCTAGTTGCATCTGTGTACATTACATTCAGTAATTCCTTTTCACCTTTAGCATTTATACTATCTTAGCCAAGCTATCCATATTTAGCTCTTTCAACCTTTTCTTATAAATTTGTCCATCCAGCTTTCTGATCTTCTTGTTACTGCCTTGTACCGTATTTATTGTATGAGAGACACTGTCCACAAATTGGAATAGCAAATTTTACACTTACAGCCAGAGAAACAGGGAGAATCCTGAGATGTAAAGGTTTCTTTGTGACCTAAAAAGTTTCACCTGAATATGATCATAGGCATTGGGGTTGATATTTGCAGCCTTTTCAGTTCCATGTGCAGCTGAGTATTTCTTCACTTCTCTAATAGCATCTGAAAACAAAAACAAAAATTGTTTTGTCTTGTTTTTTAATGTGCGTGTGTGGCACAGTGTATTTGGCTACTATATAAGACTGAGAACTCTAGGAATATATGCAGTCTCCTCAGTCCACAGAACAGGCAAATCCCTGTAGTGGCAGTACCAACTTCAACGGCCCTTGAAATGTGCCTGACCCACCTGAAGGAATCATTCTGGAGTGATTAGGTAGTTCAGTCACCATGCTATATCACTGTCCTCTGTCTAGATACAATAGTGCCAGCTATGATGGTGTCTTTTGACATATGTACCTACCCATTAGGAACTCGATCAAGGCAAAAAATCATTCCACAAACACTATCAGAGACCCATCAGATGGTAATGACTTTTGACACCTTCAACTTGGACCAGATTTCAGTTGCTTAGCTAGTAGTGAGAAGACCAAAAATAGATCTCCCTCCCATTCCCTAAGGATTTCTCTTGCTAAGTAGGTGTTGCATATATGGTTCAAATTAAGATTTGATCAGACAAAAGCAATGTTTATATTTCCTTTACACTGTAACTATGAAAAAAGTATTTACTGGAACCCAATCAAACATAATGAAGTTTATTCACATTCAGATGAGTTGTGCTATTGTAAATAGTGTCTAAATACAGTATGGGTGAAGTACATTATTTTGCCATCTTTCTCTACAAAATTTTTTCCTAAGTGGCCAACAGTCTTGGCTGCAATCAGCAGCATCTGAAACTAAGAGCTGGTCTATACTAGAAAAGTAGATCGACCCAGCTCCGTCGCTCAGGGGTGTGAAAAATACACACCACTGAGTGATTTCGTTAAGCTGACCTAAATCCCCTTGTAGCCAGTGCTAGGTTGAGGAGGACTTCTTCCGTTGACCTAGCTACTGTCTCTAGGGGAGGTGGATTACTGATACCGATGGGAGAACCCCTCCCATCATCAGAGGTAGTGTCTACAGTAAATCATTGCAGCTGTGCCGATGTGGCATTTCAAGTGTACATAAGCATTAAGCCAGGTTGGGCTAAATTAATATGGGAATAGGAGACCTCCTGGGAGCATATAAACATTGTAGGGGATGATGTTGGCAATTTGGCAAGTCACATTCTTCCCTCCAATCCATTATTGAACCAGTTCCCCCATCATCATCACATGTGATGATTTACTGCTGGATTTGCCATCTTTTGGAGACAAAACTTGGGGTCATCATAAAACCCACTTTTTGAAAGAGTAAGGTATTAATCCTAGTTTCCCAGATAGATTCCAAGCATCAAATTCTGGTTACCTAAAATATCACTTCAAGGTAAAGGTACCTTTCACTTCCTGTCCTAAACTCTGAAGTATCAATACTGTGTTATTAATCTGCTGCTGCATTCCACCTTAGAGCAAAGCAACTGCATGTCACTACATACAAGCTTCCATTATAATAACCACCTTTTTCTACATGCACATAACATGTAAGAAGTTCTGCAGTTAAACTTCATACTGAATAGATCAAACAAATTTCCATCCTTTTATGCCATGGGAATGTTCAGGCCTTGCCTTAAGACAGCTGTATTATGGTTTCACAAGGATACCCCATATTTAATTTCAGCTCAAATCTGCTTTTCCTTAACAAAAATGTTTGACCAAAATTCACTCACAATCTTTCCAGTTGGAGCTCAGGGAGGAAAATAAAAATCTACCACTTTTCTATTTTATTTTCTATTTTTTCTATTGTAGTGACATTCTCCATAATATCTAGCTAAAGTTTCTGGAGGTCTTCTAGAACAGGCACTTAAATATTATTTATATTTTAGATGTCTGTACTTACATTACTACAAGTTAGTTTATTAATAAGAACATTTTCCAGTCTAGTTTGCTTTTTGATATTTATGAAGTTTACTTCTTGCATTTCTTTCATTCACCATAGACAGTAAATCTAGTCAATTTCACTTTGTTTAAAGTAATTTAGAATTTACATAACATTTTTCATCTCAAAGCATTTTACTAACTTATCTCCTCTCCTTCTCATGCAAAAGAATCACTTCCATCACCAAAGACAGTACACCGTATGTTCATCAGCACACAGAAACCCCGCACAGTTATTTGTGACAGAAGTAAAATGAATTTAGCCAGACAGATGTTACCCAAGCTCAAATTTCACTGGACTTTGATGCTATTCTAAGGTTCCAATGTTCTTTTCCCCCTCAAAACCAGCTGTGGCCAGCACCTCAGTTTTATGCCTCGTCTGAGAAAAAGCATCTCCAATAGAACACTGCCTTTTCCCCATCGTTCTGGGACAATGTCAACCCACAGAAAGAGTGCCACCTACTGATGCATCTTCCTACCAGCACTTAAGCGTTCCTTGGAAATCTACCATCCAATTACTTACTTATCTTAATCATACTTGGCTTGTAATTTCTGATGGGATGGCAACAAGAAGAGGTCTGGCTGAAGTTCCATTTGTTCTCTTGCATCATCACACTACTGTATTATTGTGTATGTGTTACTAAGTCTACATACAAAACTTTAAATGCCCCCCCTCCAAAAGAGTGTTTGAATTGAAATTTAAAGAATATAAAAAATGTTTCTAGTCACGTTAAGTTTGTACTCTTCCTGTTTATCTATTGCCCATGGACCCCGTGTACCCTTTAAGCAATTTTCAACACACAAGAAGAAAGATTTACTACTTACCAAGAAACAAAACAATCAGTAGAACGATTATTGGTAGGAATGCCTTATTCCAATAATTTGCTATTTTATTCTATAGTGGAATCATAAAGATCTTCTGCCATCTGTAAAATAACATTGTGTTAATCCCCCAAAAATTGAACGTTAGAAGATAACTGTTGAGATGAGTTCCTGTCTGCATCCTGTAAAACTTGCCCATACCGGTATTGCCCTGGCCTCTTCTTTTGTCATTCAGTGTTGCACGCATTCTAAAGCAATATGCATTTCCTCACCTTTTGGGGGCGAAGCCAGACTTTGAGGCACCTGCTCCCCTACTTGGTGTAAAATTTACTTGTGCCAATCAGAAACGAACACAAACAGGTTTTGGGCCCCGTCCCCTATGACACTTCTATGATGTCATAGTTGGTACTTTATGGGCTGCCTGCCATGAGCAGGCAGGGAGAGGAGAAAGAAAAACGAATCCTGTGTATCCTGTGTACACCCGTAACCGAGCCTGATCACCTCGAAGCCTCTCTCTCAGCTCACGTGTTTCAAACAGAGTTTCTACGTTTGCCGGTCGTTATGCGTTGGTTTGTATTTGTAAGTATCAGTTATTACTAATTGCTGCATCTTTGTTTATAAATATTGTTAGTAGATATTTTAGTCATTGTGTGTTTTAAGTTTCATTAACTCTATTAGCTAATCAAACGCTGCTCCCTTACCCCTTGTAATTATCCCCAATAAAACTTTAAATTGATTAATTTTAGTTGTGTGTGTGTGTGTGTCTGCAGTTTGCAGCGTGACCCATACTCTCCTTGCATCCCTTACCAATATAGTCTATTGCCACGTGCAACCTGGTAAATAACAGGCCTGCATTTTCTTTCGCCCCTGCGTGCCCGTGGCAATCCACAATAACCACCTTACACAAGAGTTTGTCAATACTTTTAATTCATAATAACCAATCAAGATCTAGTAACAACTCTTTCAACTGCAATATAATTTAATACTGTTAAGCTAGCTACAACTTTGCCTACAACCCAGTTTAATTTCTCTTAAACCAAAATAGAAAATGTTAGACAAACTGTGTTTATTCATATTGAAAAAAAATCTGTCACAATACTAGCTATTTTCCAACTGTACATTCTTTTGCCTATAAACTTAGCTTTACTACTTGTATGCTCTACACCCATTACAGAATAGAGAACTTCAGGGGAAAATGCATAATCCATAGTGTACCATTTAATTTTTATCTACCTGCAAATAGTCTTTTCAAGTGAGTTAGGAAAAAGCTATCTGTAAATCATAAGATCTTCACATTAACATGAAGTAAACTGACAAAAAATAGTGGCTGTAACTCACTATGCCAGAGTGATTCCTTTCCAGAGGGCATATCTTTTAACAATGAAAACAAAAAAAAGCTCCCCACCTCATTGAGCAATTCCCTACTACACTGGTCACCACGTTCTTCCTTAAAAATGAAGAGATGTATCCTACTCTTGGGTTTACATTTTAGGGGAGGGAGTTAACATCTCTGGTCAAGAGTAAAGATATGCACACTATGGAAGCCATTCTCTGGAAAATGGAAACAACACCCCTCCCCCCCCCACCAAAAAAACAACAACAGTGGTCTTGGATGATCAATGTCATTGCTTTGTTTTATTTAGTCATTCAGCATTAATGGATAGATCTGCAAAAACTTCAGATTTGCAAAACAAAAAGTACAACAGAAGAAGTCTGGAATGTTTAAATGAACTGCAAACCAGTAAGAGAGAAACTGGAAGACAGAAGACCCTATTTTCTGCTGGTGTAAACTGGCATAGCTCTGATTTCAAGGGAGCTATGCCCCAATTTACATTACTTCATTATTTGGCCCAAATCTACTAGTGGTTTATCATCTGAGAATTATTCAATGTTTGAGCCAGAAGGGTTTCATCAAAAAATAATTATGATCCACAAATATTTTTAAAATTTGTATTGTTAGGTTGTGTGTGTTCTGTTGGTTTGCAGCTTACTAAGGACTTGATCCAAATCCTGTTGAAAGTAATGGGAAGTCTCTTCATCAATCCTCAGATGAAGGATTAAAAAAATTGTGTGCGATATTATCCAAATAAATATCATATAAATATAACAAATTTCCATTATATGCAGAAGATGCTCAGAAGTTGTGCTAATTTAAAACAATTGATTTAAGGCAGATTTGTGGTTCTTAAAGGAGAGAATCACAGAATCATATGATTTGAGCAGGGGGTTGGACTAGATGACCTCCTGAGGTCCCTTCCAACCCTAATATTCTATGATTCTGTGATTTATTAGGAAGAAACTTTTTCTGTGCACAGGTCATTCCAGGCATTTGATTCCTCAAAAGCAGCTGGTACTGAACACTGGTGGGACAGGAATTGGACGAGATGGACCACTGATCTGATCCAATATGGCAATTCCTCTGTTATGGGTCACTTGGCAGTGTGGTTCCATCCGTCCAGATATTTGTATTTTGGTATTTTTAATATACTCACCAGACAGGAAGTTTTGTTTATTATCAGAATTTTAATATCTTCCCATTAACCCAAATAAGCACAGTCACACAGGAGCGCTGCTTGAACAGACAAGTGAGGGCATGTCTTCACTAGCAATGTTAAAGCAGTGAGCTCTCCCAGCGCTGTAAAAAACAAAACAAAAAACACTTCCACGAGGGGAGTAGCTACCAGCACTGGGAGCGCGGTTCCCGGCACTGGTGCACTGTCTACACTGCCACTTTACAGCGCTGAAACTTGCAGTGCTCAGCTCTGAGCAAAAAAGTTGCAGCGCTGTAAAGTGCCAGTGTAGACAAGGCCTGAGTAACTGAAACTTTCAAGAACAATAGGACCACATCTTGCTTCAATTGTACCTGCTTTAACTGCTGTGACAGACTCAGCTCACAAGACCATCTAGGAGTACTTCGCAGAGCACAACTTGAAAGCCACTGCCTTAAGGTATTGTCACAAGTGCTAAATGTAGTCTTTGATCCAGCAAGATTACCGTGACAGTTTTGTTAACAAGATAATTAAACGTAATTTAAATCAAAAAAGGATTTTGTTCTTTCAAAATAACATTTTAAGAGACCTGAATGCTGCAAATCAACCTCAGAGCTAGCACAAAAAAAATTGGACACTAGAAGAGCCCAATATATCCCATTATTATGGCACAAATGAGCCAGAGTATATCATCAAGCCTCATTTTTAACATTTGAATGAATACTGGGACCTAGTAGTATTGTGGGTTAATGAATTACTCATCAACTGCGAAGACAATTGAAATCCTAGTTACAGCATAAATGAAACTGGGTTTAATGTTTTCATTGTAATTCACAGTGAATATCTGCATACCTCATAAAACCAGATATTCTTATTCAACCTGTAATGACACCCATACAGCAGCTTTCTTTCTACAGATTATCACTATAGTTTAGTTTAACTTTCAGAATACCTTTTTCAGTTCTGCATAGCTTTCTTAAATTTATTTGGGCTGAAATTCTCCATAGGCTGCTATGTCTCAGACCTATTAGACTCTCGGGCAGGGGTGGGAGGAAAGAAGTAGTCCAGGACTGGTGGTACATACAGGCAACCATTTTAATGCATATGCCATAGGTTGTTAGGACATCCCTTTGGGATGAGGATGGGCCTCTCTCTCACCCCAGACATCCTTAACTGGCTGTAGACATTGCTGTAATACCAGTTTGGAGTGTGCGGTGCAACTCTCTGGCTGTAAGTCTTAAGGAGGAAGCTCTCCCTCCCCCGCTTCTGGGCATAATAGCAGTCCAAAACGAAAGAGGTAAACAAAATAATCCTGCAAGTCACAAGACAGTCTGGGTTCACCTGACTGTTTTTTCAAAAGGCAAAAAGTCTCTGCGAAGGGGGCTAGGTTCCTAACCTCCTGAGTGCCTGAGCGGCCCAGGCTGAGGGTCCTGCACTTTAAAAAAATAAAATAAAAATAAAAGCAAAGATGGCCTCTCCATCCCTCCAGAGGGTCCAGGCAACAAGTATTTTAGCTGCTCTCTCCTGTGACAGGCCTAAACCTGAGGAGTCAACTGTAAAATGAACTCCTTTGAAAAATAAGGAGTGAAGAGGACTGGCTCTTGGAACAACTGTTTTGTCAGGGTGTTAAAAGTTTTTTAACAATTGTCCTTCTGGTGGACTTTCTTTGGACTACCACCTTTTATTAGGTCCATCAGAGGGGTCCCCGATAGTGGTAAAAGCCAGGGACAAATCACCCAGCTAGTTCAAGAAAGCATCTTACCTCTTTTTCATAGATTCATAGATTCATAGATTCTAGGACTGGAAGGGACCTCGAGAGGT